AACTTTTTGCTTTCAAATCCTCCATTTTAATCGAGCAGCCAAAAAAAAGAAATGCTAACTCTGTGCACATTAAATCAATTAACCCTCTGAGACCATAAGTATCATATTTGATACAAACTGTTTCTGAAATGTTTAGCATCATTTAATGGTAAAAAGGCTGGTTAAAAACCCTTTTTTACCCGATCAGATTTACCTAATAACAGCAGGCAGAAGACCATTATTTTGACTCGCGGTAGTAATTTCTGTTAAAGAAAGACTAAACCAAAAAAAAAAAAAAAAAATCTGGCTATTTTTTTTTGGGTTAGGGTTTAAAGGGTTAAGAAAGAAAAAAAAAATCTTAAATAAAAATTCTCAGATGGATGTTTGATTTTTGGAATTAACCATTTTAAAAGGTTCAACTGTGATGTTTCAGGTTAATTATTTTATTTTATTACACATTACCAGGTAGAAAATGCTAAAAATGGGACCTGTTTTAGAGAAAGCAAGAACTTTATACTTTCAAATCCTCCATTTTAATCGAGCATTCACTCATTGGAAAAGCAAAAAAAAACTTCTCCTCACATTCTTAGTGTTACATGACCAATTGCATGGCTTTTTTTTGGTGAAGAGGAGGTATTGTGTGAGCATCTGCCAAGTAATTGGAGGCCAACGTGGAGACTGACGGGCTGATTACAGCGTGTCTTCTCCCACATTCCCCGTCCTGGAAAGGCTTTGTGTTCCTGAGCCCATAACCCACAGACGTGGACGGGCCTTTTTTTTTTTTTTTTCAACCGCGAGCTGTCACGGCCACGATGCAAAACCACATTTAGACAAAAAGCAGCCATTTTTTTTTTCCCCCCCGTGCTTTAAACGCACCGAAAGGTAATGGTGCGTGAAAATCCAACTGCCCGTGGATTTATTTCCCAGTGATGTCTTTAACGGAGAAAACAGCTTTTTCACATTTAATGGAGGATGTTGTGTCTCTATGAGTGAAGTAAAAGATAGCACACGCTCACATACTGACTTTAGCTCCACAAGAAGACATAAATAAATGCCAGTATTATCAGATTAGAACACAATAAGAGACATAGAAGAATGGCAGCTGTGCTCAGAGTAAGTATTCATATTTTATATCGACTCCAGTTCGTTTTACACATCGTTTTGTATCATCTGTGCAGAATTCATGGAAATATTGAAGGAAAAGAAACTAAAGACTCCATATCACAGCACAACCACAACAGAAAGTTTTTTAATATAATTTCTAATGTGTTTAAGAAGCAGATCTTTACTATAATATAAAATGTTATAATAGTTTGTTTTGTACATTTTTATTCAATAAAGATTGAAAAAAGAAAGAAATAGTCGTGGCAAGATGTCAAGGCTGGGAAACCCCTTTTATATAGTTACTTTTATGGCTAAAATAAAGTATCGTGCAGCTTTGGTCACTGACCTTCTGTCCATCTTGGGAAGATGAAAAAGTTTGAATGGCATCATGCTTCATAGGTTGCTTTTTTGTAGAAATCCAACAATAATAATGTTAAGAGAGGAGATAAAACTCTTTATTCACGTTTGAATATCTTGTTAAATGTCCATTGCTGACTTGATTCAGTGGAGAAAGTTTATCATGAACCTTCCTTTAGTTTTCATGGACCAGATACATTCTCCATCATGGCAGAGACGAACTGAATTACAGTAATGGACCAGATGGGAAATGTTCTGTCTGAATTTGCCTTTGATGGACGCGGCTGTCTGAAAGATTTTTAGATGTTAGCGTCACTGCAAATGCAAGAAAAACCTCTGGGAGTTTAACCATGTCAAAATCATCATCATCATCGTCTTTTTACCTATTTTTGACCATAACGATATAACAAACCTGTTCTTGAGGAATATGGGAACTACACCCGGTCACATAGGAATCGTGCAAGTGTTCGGTATGTCAAACTTTGCTTTAATATATAATGGCCGAGCCCAGAGTGAGTGGACTGTGTACAATAATACTGTATATAATGTCAGAGGAAC